ACCTCAAAATTCCGCAACAGTCTGTTTCATCAGATGCCTGATTCTTTACTGATGAAACAGACTGTTACGGAATTTTGAGGTAAGCGAAATTATATATATATATATATATATATATATATATATATATATATATATATATATATATATATATATATATATATATGAATATATATATATATATATATGAATGTTGTGGTTTCCCACGTTGACGATTCCACTCGTGTTACGTTATGTAGCGGTTTATGAGTTGCTTTCAGACGAGTGTATACCAAACCGGGCAAGCAGAAAATTCTACTTGACCGCGGCTGGGATTCGAACCCGCGACCTTCGCATTTCTAGAACGATGCTCTACCTCCAAATGCATAGCCGCCAATGGCATGACGATTATTCCAGTTGCAAGGTCAATGGTAGACTGAATAAGATAGTGTTGTTGGAAACTCTTTCTTTCAATGTTCGAGAGTTCCAAATTGTTGCCACTGTGACACCATTGAGAAGTATAGTCGTAAAAACAAGACTTACGCTGACCACGATTGCAATGACATAGAGAACTATACTCGAGGTGGATGGAAATTTGATAACAACGTTTATATTCTCCTTCAAGATATAACAGGTTTCAATAAATATGTTCCCAGTTGTTGCATTCATTTCCTACGTGATTCGCTTCCAAATGCACCTCGTATTTCTGAACGACTGTAAAGAGCTCTGGAGTCGAGTAGAGTTGAAGTGTACTTAACTCCAACACAGCAACAGTTGATGCTGTTAGTTGATTAACATTCTACATTACAACTTTTAATCGTTTTTCGCCATGCCAGGTGCTTTTTGTATTCATTTTCTGATTACTTTGTTATATGTGCATGTATAAGCTGCCATTAAGCATTGAAATGAAGATAATTTAGAAAGAAATTATTGAAAATATGCGGAGTGTTTATTGTATTCTTTGAGGCGTATACATTGGACTAGTTTATTAAGTTTGAACCGACTGGGAACTCCTCGATTATCTGGTTTCTTAGCATCACTCCCGAAATTTGGCAATTTTCGTATTTATATTTCATGTTTGTACGGTTGTTAATGTGTGCTCTAACCAACCTCGTTCCCATGCTCTTCCCTGTGCTCTAATTAGGTATAGGGGGCAGAGGCATCTTCTTTTAAGCCCCCCCCCCGCGCCATCGTTATCCCTCGAGGTAAAAGATCTAGGTGATAACTGCATGGGTTGTTGTAGACCATCAACAACCCCCTCCCCCAAAGGCCTCTCTTAAAGAACTGAAAGCATGAAATCTCTTCGAACTGAAATTCGAAACTTTAAGGTATAAAATACCTGTATGGCCCCAAGTTCGAATCCTGCCAAAAGACCAAAATACTGCTCCTGGTTAGGGTCTAACGAGATTTTCATCTACAAACAATCCTTCGACAACTAAGTGATTTATAGAGTGAGATACTCAAAATCTGATATTTTAGAAATATAACTTTTGCTTTTCTCAAAAAGATGGAAATATAACGAATAGAAATATAACGAATGCTTTTCTCTAAAAGATGGCTGAAAATCAGACGGAAGTGAATTATTTATGCAAATTGTATTCATAAAACAAATACGTGTAATAGTTGTATTTATAAATAAAACTTTTTCAAATGCTGAAATTATACTAAAACAATTAGTCGCCTCAGGCGCAGTGATTACAAGCCTATATTCACTTCGCCTTCGGCTCAGTGAATATAGACTTGTAATCACTTCGCCTTCAGCGACTAATTGTTAAGTATCAACACGAGTGGTAATTGGGGAAACGGGAAATTGTGCGGAAATAGGACGCCGCGACGGCGCATGCAGTGTTTTCACACAATTTCGAGTTTTCACAATTTCCACGAGTGTTAGTATAACTGTATATCAATACGGAAAAAAGTTTTACATTTTTTTTATAATTCAGCACAAAGAAATATAAAGAAAGAAATTTTTCGTGTTGACATTGAGTAATATGTAAACACGGCTCTTAGCCAATAAGCGTTCAGAATTTACAAATGCTATATTATAATTACCTAAATGCATGGATAGAAAATGTTTAAATTTTAATATGCTATAATTTAAACTTCGAAGAAACGGTATCACTGTTTAAACTATCATTAAAAATTTGCAACGCGAACAAGCAGAATTAAGGACGGGACTTGTTGTCGAGTTTTTTGTCATCATGCACATGGATTTTAAGCTACAATATAAGCATGAACGGAAGAAAATAGTCGCCGAGAGTTTTTGCCTATGGTTTTGTGAATACAATGCATCCAAATGAGAAAAGGTGAAAATAAAATAATGTTAAACAATTGCTACAGATTGCTCAAGGGTTCTCTCGATGAGAGGATATGTCGAAATGTATTAATTAAGACTTGAAAAGAAGCGCCGGCCTTAATGCATTTCAACTTTTAACTCATTTCTCTTCTGGCATAGTTATCATAAGAATGGCTAAATATTTGGCTGGGGCGTATTCCACGAACGCCAGGTAGCGCTATCCACCGGACTGTTACCTTTTCAATATAAAAGCTATAAAATTACGGATATACATCAAAATTAATAAAAAGATACTTCAATTTAGTCTGGGTTAAAAATCAACGGACAATTTTTATAAAGCTTGAAAAAATACAGTTGAATATGAAGGCAATGCAATGTCGATGATCATTAAGGACACCGCAGTGTGGACCAAAAATTCATACGTCTACGGCATAGTAGAATTGAACCTATAATTGCTGCAGGTTTTGTAGATGGAAATTCCGAGTGTAAACTGTTTCCATTTATTTGGACCTAACCCGGAGGAGCTGCGAAAAAAATACAATTATAGGCCCTCTGGCTCTGGCAGGAATCGACCCTGCGGCCTCGTGATTCCGGTGCAGCGCTCTAACCAACTGAGCTACAGAGGCCAGTTGAGATGCCCCAAAATCCTGATGGCGGTTGTTCAAAGCTGAATTAGTGCTAATCCTGGGTTAAAATTTCACCTGCTGTTTTAGTTTATGTATTTCTGCACGTCTGTTTATAATCGTAATTGCACTGAGTGGAGTGCAATTTGGTGTGACATCAAACGCGTGATTACAAATTGATAGGGATTACCTTGTTTAGTTGTTTTACCTGTCGCTTTATTAAGTTGCTTTTTGTTGGTATTTTCGCCATGTTTCACAAAGATTTTGTTCCTAATACATGTCCATAATTATTTGTGAATTGTTTAACAGTTAAGTTATACTTTATTTGGTTTTTATATACAAAAAAATAGCCAAGATGGCAATACTCTGATTTGTTTATTTTGCTTAATTTAACAGATCACATTTTCCTTAACATTGACTGGCTAAGTGAATTCTACACTTTCCTTTGATTGGCTATAGCTAAGGTCACCACTTCAACACGATTGGTTTAAAAATGATGCGATTATACATGCAACTCATGCTGATGCGAGCAAAACTCAAAAAAGTGCGATTACAGCTCAAAATAGTGCTATTTGGTCTGTAATCGCACTATTTTTATCCAATCAGATTGCTCGATTTGCGCATGATTTCAAAATGAATATGATAGATTTGAAAACTTCAGAGAAGAAAACTCCTAAAGAAATATTTTGAAATTTATATTCATCCTTTGCATGGTTAAGCTAAACCAGCTTTGAACAACTGGCCCTTGATTTTTACCCATTAAACTTAATACCGTGGCTGCGTGGCATCACCTTAGTATATATACACATAAACTTGCGCAGGGCCACAGCACAGAATACAGACATACAGAAGTGTATCTTCTTATTAAAAGTGCGTAAGGGATTTTTTCAGTCCGCCATGTTCTTAGCAAGTGCCCTAAAGAGAGGCAGTCACCCCCCTGAAAACATATTGAAAATTTAATATTCCAGGGGGGTGAATGCCTCTCTTTAGGGCACTTGCTAAGAACATGGCCGCCAGCTATTTCGGTAAAAAGCGCCTTACGGTTTTGTAATGGAAGTTACACTTCTGTATGTCTTTATTCTGTGGCCACAGGTTCGATTTCTGCCACAGGTTCTGTAGTTGCATTTTTTGCAGCTGCTCGTGGATAGGTCAAAATAAATGCATAATATTTACACTCTCAATGTACACTCGAAATTTCCATAATTTCCATCCAGAAAATCCTTCAACATTATAGTTAGTGGAGCGAGCTGCCCCCAAATCCTGATACTTATCACGGCTTTATTGATACTGATGCATTAGATGAATAGAATGTACATATGTAGAAGACACGCATCTCCTATGCTGACGCGCGAAAATTTAGAAAGTCAATTTTGAAACGATGAATAAAAAAATATAGAACTATATTTACGAGTATATATGTCCCGGAAATTTTCTATAGGATTTCGTGTATTCTTTAAGACACGTCCAAAACTCATCACTCTACTGCACGATGCAATCCACATTTAGTGAAACAAATTTGAATATGTCATTCAGCTTTTCTGACTAAGCATTAATATTAGTACCATTAGTGACAGAACACATTACACCGGGGAAACCGAGCTGTGAATTATAAATGAGTACAAGAAGCTACAACATGCACGAGTGCAGTTGACGAAATTCTTGACTATTATTATTAAGCCTCGTTACTGCGTTACAGACGACCAAGTTTTCCTTGATAAGTTTATTTGATCGTGTGTACGGCAAAAATGTTACAATTTTTTCTTGCCCAGGACTTTGCCAAGGCTTACAAAGCTGATCACGAGGTCATGCCATCTTTTCAACGAGGAAAATTTGTTCGTGTGTACGACTGCCAAGGAAAACATGACAAGAGAATACTTCTGTGGTTTTGGCAAACAAAAAGGCGACCTGCATGATATGAGATAAATGTTTCGCAACATTTTGTGCACACGAGCAACAAAACCTCTATAAAGGGAAATTCTTTAAAGGAAAACTCGTTGACCGTGCACACGAGTAGGTAAATTAGTCAAGGAAAACCTACCCCTGTATACCGGGCAATATCGAGATATATTTCATTGACACTAATTTTTTTTTTAAATCAACTATAGAAGGAGCACAATAGCGAAAATGATGAAGAGAGCGAGTTCTCTGGGAGCGAGCAAACAACTAATAAAGAACCAAGGAGGCCGAGTAGGGGATATAGGAAGGTGATTGATTATCGAAAGAAAACAAAAGCTTGGTAAGTAAAGCTTCATCCGTTATAATTTCGATAGAGTGGGACATTTATTAACAAGCCCCAATAGATTTGTATTAAGACCCGTACAGACTGGCAAGTTTCCTTGACAACTTTAAATGGCACGTTTTCCTTGACGAGCTAGTCGTACCAATACCGCAGAAAAACGTCTGCGCATGCTCCAACCTTGACTTGAAATTTCCCTTGCGAAAAGAAGTGACGTACATGCGTGTCTTTCCCGGTGAGCTCCATATATATCTTCTGGAGCGACAACTCGAGTCCAAACAGTGAAGCCAACTTCCTGTTAAGCGCGCGGACAAAAACAATAGAAAGGGACTGGAACTGACTTCCTATAGCTCTTCAGAATCCGCCATTTTGCAGGGAGTGTGCCGACTCGCAATTATTATGACAGGACTTTTACATATATAATGATAACAGATGTTTTTGCTTCGGAATAATTTTTATTCACTCATTTACTGTCAATTCTGTAGGTACAAGGCGTTTCTTGCTGGAAACGTGTTGACCTGTTGGCGACCAAGCTTAAAACACTGGAAGAAATTTCCTGCAAGGTAGCGTAAAGAAAGTGGAAGCGTGGATAGAAAAAGACTGGTTAGGAAAAATTTGGGATTATGATGACTTTGAAATAAAGTCGAAATCATGACATCTTGAATTTTGTTTGTGTCTCGTTTTTGATTTTTCAAGATGATAATATTTTGAGTAATGTACAGCATGTTATTTCTCTATATGTCTTGGTGTGAAGGATATACAACTACCTGAAAAATATAATCAGAACTTCGATGTTTCGATCGAACGCCCTTCTTCGGGAAGTTAGTACCGTAAGTTAGTAACTTCCCAACGAAGGGTCGTCGATCGAAACGTCGACGTTTTGATTAAATTTTTCAGCTAGTTGTATATCCTGCACACGACAACTATTGTTGTTATCGTCTCTATCAACACTGGCACCGACTGTCCAAGAATAAATCTACATGCATGCCTATCTATAAATAGTTACCTATCTACAAATGTATTGTAACTAGCAACACCTACCTACCTTCTAACAACCTATCCACTTACCTAACTTACAACCGAATAACGTTTGATTTTTTCTGTGTTGGTGTTGTGGTGAATATGATATTTGTGATTTTACTCTGAGTGTATATCCACACCGGGCGAGCTTGAAAAATACGCCCGGCCGCGGTGGGATTCGAACCTACGACCTTTGGAATACTAGCTCCTGACCGCGTAGCTCAGTTGGAAGAGCATTGGGCTAGTATTCCAAAGGTCGTAGGTTCGAATCCCACCGTGGCCGGGCATATTTTTCAAGCTCGCCCGGTGTGGATATACACTCAGAATAACATCACAACTACCAATAACGTTTGTTTTATTCGAGATGGAACAACAAAATCAGGTACCGTTGTCGATGGTAGCCTTTTCACCCCCCCCACCAGAACATTTGTATAGAGGGTCGAGTTAGGATCGCGATACCGTCTTATTTTCCTTTGAACGAAATTTTGGGCTGCGAGCAGGCTATGTCGATGGAGGCTTTATTATTTAGCATTATTAATTTCTCATTTTCTCTTCGACTCTTAACCTGCATTTTTTACGTGTTCTAATTTTCTGGGCGATGGCCGTAGCTGATGGGGAACCCTAACTATCGAGGGCCCTTAGTTTTTGAACTATAACCCTATACCCAATGAGCGTTACGCCACTGCTTACAACCCACCTACCTAACAACCTACATATACTTACCTAACTTACAACCCACCTACCTAACTACCTATCTATACTTACCTAACTTACAAACCACTTACCTAACAACCTATCTACTTACCTATCTTGCAACCTAATCTACCTAACTACCTTCGTTTTCATATTTAGTGAAGCGGAACACTACTTGCCTGTTAGGAAAATGTCTCCAGTGTTCAAGATAGAAGCCGTGAACAAAAAGAAATGGACACCCGAGCAAGACAAAGAGTATCAGTTACCGTTGTTTTCTTCTGCTCCGATTAATTCTGGTTAGTAGTTTTTATCTTGGGTAAAGTCGATTTTGCTAATGTTTTCGTCTGTGATATTTTACCTTTGTCCGCATCGCTTATCGCGTCTGGAGAATCGATGGCGACGAAGAAAAAATGTCGCTTCGCACGGAGAAGTTCGCTATAGTGGAAAAACAGTTTAATGATTGATCTTGAATAATTCTCAACGTAATTTTCAACTCATTCTGTTTAACTGGGGGTCAAAATAGGGACCAGTCATCGGTCACATGCATTTTGGTTGTGAGATTGATTTTTGAGGTGTTGAGAGTCGTCTCGATTCCCATAGACTCGAAAATGCAATTATATATCATTTAAAATCTTGGAATGTATATAATAACCGCTTAGCAAATCAAAGCGCCTGGGACGAGGCTGTATAATAAGCATTGTTTATGACTTTCAGTATCGGACTCTCTGGTTTAAGTACATGGGAATCTGCAATTCAGGAGAGGTGGAAAATGAAGCCCATCTCCTCCTCTCTTGCAAAGCCTATGAGCAATCTCGTACAAACCTTCGAAGTTCATTAGAGAATGCTTCATTTGACGAGATTAATCTAAACTCTCAAACTCTATCAGCGGACATAATGAGGTCAACTGATAGTGAAATCATAACCAAACTTTCAAAATTTTCTTATGTTTGGAACAGACTTCAATACCTTGAAACAAGGAATGCAGATTAGCAAAGGTTGTAATAACCACCTTATTTGTAAATAGTATACGTTATAATTGTCTTCTTTCTTTCCTCTTAATTCTTCTTAATATTGTATTAGTCTATTATAAATCATTCCACAAATGATAATTAACAATTATTCGCCGAAGGCGAAGTGATTACCGGTGAATATTCACCGAGACGAAGTCGAGGTGAATATTCACCGTAATCACTGAGCCTGAGGCGAATAATTGTTTTAGTATAAATTTTTAATGAATAAAACAAAATATCCAAGTTATCCAACTATAAGTTTAATTAAAATTCAGAAATAAAACTGTTTTCGACCGGTTTACGGTTTAGTGTTGCAGTGTTTCTTGTACACGCACGCTTTCAAAATGGCTTCCTGTGCGACTTTATTGCTTTATTACAAAGTTATTTTTCTCGATTTCTGCTTAGAATATAAACACAATGATGGAATGACTTTTTTACCAGACTTAGAATTAAAAAATAGTTTCTGTTTAGCATTAATTTGTTCAGGAAATGGCTGAGAAATTTGGTAAAATGAAATGTAAAACTATATCTATATCGTTCGAATTAATATAAAAGTTTTAATACACTTTTCACTTTACAAGTTTTGAAAACACAAATAGTACAATACAGCGAGAGGACACCATACAGCACAATGAAAACACGACATAGTCAAAAGAAATAGTATCGTACAAATTGAGATATTTATAGGATACAAAACAAAATTGTTTTAAAAAGAATATCACGGCTTTTCCCAAAAGTCGGGATATTTTTTGCTATTTCAGATTTACGTTTGAAGCGAATGTTTCGGAGTTTTAAATAAGTTTTAAATTGCCCGTGAATATGTTTGACACAGTAATATAATACTAAATCCTACCTTTCAAGTTAAATACAACATTTTGTGCTTTTTTTCTTCTTCTGGGAGGATGTTTTCAATATTTTGTCGATTTTGAAACCAAATTTGCCGAATCATTCTTTTTGAAAAGCATTATTTACTACCCAGGTGGTAAATAATGCCTCAGATTTACTAGTCAACAGCCAATCAGAACGCGCGAAAGCTCATTTGATATGCAAAATTTATAATAATCTGTAATAGTCCTAGTTTATCATAGTTTCTTCTATATATTGTTTGTAATGCTTTAGCAATACTGTAATTTTATGGTCATGCTAATAAAGCTATTAATTACCTTACATGGATTGTGCATGAGTATGCATGTGTTTTTACAATTGTATCTAATTATTTTATAGCGGGAGGTTTATGTAACGTTACCTTCAATGTTGGTGGGTCGGTGTGGGCCATGGATTGGGCGCCAATACCGGGTAAGTTAATGCCATAACTTCCCTTAATCAAGGTACAATAAGACTCGTTAGCCGAATTCATATTAGAAGACGGATTTCCGTCTAAGACGGGAAACTCGTCTCAGACGAGAAACTCGTCTTGATATAAATTCGGTAAACGACGGGTTTTCCGTCTCAACTTTTCCGTCTAACTTTCCCGTCTGAACGACGGGAAAGTTCGACGAGTTTCTCGTCTTAGACGGAAATCCGTCTTAAATCCGTCTTAAATTTATATCAGACGAATAAATCAAGGCGGGTTTCTGCTCGTAACGTTCAAAAGAGACTGGGATGGAGGGTCTCCTATTTTTTCGGGTTTATCCGTCCGATGGTTTTCGTTTCATACTTATACCAGACGGAAATCCGTCACACGAGTTTCCCGTCTTAGACGGAAATCCGTCTTCTAATATGAATTCAGCTGTTGTGTATGTTCTCGCAAAAACTCTTCTTCCTCGTCAAACATACGCGTATTTTCACAATTTCACCCCACACTCAATACCAGTCAGACATGCATGTTTTCGTTCCCTACGCAAAGCCCAAAATCGAAATTGCAGTTTGTGTTTTTACTGTCAAAGAAAGTGTGTGCATATACTAAGTTGTTTTGCTTTGGATGGGGAATAAATGAAAAATGGAAATAGAATAAAACCTATATCCTGTCTCTTAACCTTAGGTGCATGGAACGTTGTATTGGACGAAAATACAAAATGCCAATCTGAGGAATTATTATTATACCTGTCCTAAATTAGTTTGGATTGTACTTGCATTAACTTAGTTTTCTTATAACTTATTTGGCGTTTTTTTCAGTTGGTGAAGAAAACTGCGATCAGTATCTCGCCATTGGTTGCCATAGTGATCCAGACAAGGTATTACGCTAGTAAATTATGCAGAAGATTATACCGTCTGGCTTGTGATGACCAGTTTTAACCACTGCATGTGATACATATATAGTAAATACCTAATACAAGTAAAAAAATACGACGGTAATATAATGTCAAATATATTTTCCTTCCATAACGAAAGTAGAACAATAAAAATGTTTGTTCAACAATGAAAATGGTCCCCCACATGAATTGTCCGTAATAGCGAGAGTCCGTAATAGCGAGGGATATGCAATTCCAATGCATGTTGTAGCAGTTTCCGCCGGGGATTTACTAACTGTCCTTATAATGATGGAGCGTCTGTAATAGTGGGGTGTCTGCAAGGCGAGAGTTGACTGTATTTATACAGAATGTTAGGGTTTGTAATCCGAGTGAGTATATATACATTTTAAGCCCTGACCAGGAACGACTGCGAAAAATGCAGCAAAAGGTCCTCTGGTAGGAATTGAACCCTGTGATTCCGGTGCGCGCTCTAACCAACTGAGCTACAGAGGCCAGTTGTTGCGCTGTAACCGTAAGTTCATGTATATATAGGTAATTTGGTGTGCGGGTTGTCATAACCTAAAAATACATGAACTTACGGTTACAGCTCAACAACTGACCTCTGTAGCTCAGTTGGTTAAAGTGCTGCACCGGAATCGTAGGGCCGTAGGTTCAATTCCCACCAGAGGACCTTGTGCTGCATTTTTCGCAGTCGTTCCTGGCCTGGTCTTAAAATGTATATATACTCACTTGGATTACAAACCCTAATATTCTAATATCAATTCTACCAAGTGAAATGCAAGTAACGAAATCAATCTGTATTTATACAGCTTGTAAACCTGACATGTCTGTGAATGGATTATTTGATAGGACAAACCGGGACTAAGGAATGTTGGGGCCGGTTGTGTTTGTTTTTGTATATGCAATTGTGCTGTTTCTTGTTCTTTCTCGTAGTTTGAGGTTAGCGAATGAACATCGTCATGATGTACTTTATCCTTAAGACAAAGTACACAATGAGTCTCGTTGTTTAAAGGGAAATGGCAATATATTTTTTTATTTTCTCATTTGAAAGAACTTTTGAAACTATTTAGTAACTTCTTTTACCGATTCTTCATATCTTGCTTAGTTCTTGAAATATTTTCACTTGAAGTAACGAGATGTCAGCCATCTTGGATAATTTTTTGATCTCATTAACGGCAGTTTTGGTGACGTCACAACAGGGATTAACCATATAAAAGTATTCGTTGCTGACCAAATATTGATTGGGAGATGTTTTACAGGTTTGAAGTGATTTTGATATTTCCACGGGAAGACAGAGTATAATTTTGGATGCAAAATGGTTAGTGGTTGTCTGGATAGAAATATTGCGTGACCCCTGTTGTGACGTACCATGCATATCTACAAAAATCCAAGGTGGCGGACATTTAATTTCGTTCGATTAAAATATTTGTAGAAGTTAGCAAGATATGAAAGAACGGTAAAAGAGTTTTATATATGCTTTTAAACGTTCTTTCAAACGAGAAAATAAAAAAATATATTGCCATTTCCCTTTAACTCTGAGTCAGTTCCCTCAAACATGTCTTACAAATTCTTCAAAACTCAGAATTTACCTGAGTGTGTAAAATTCGTACTGTGATCACAGAAACCTTGATAGAAACTTTGATAGTAGAATTGATTGAGTTGGTTAGGCAAGTTAAGAGAAAGCGCAACCGTAAGCAAAGGCAGGAATATAGTATTTGTTGGGATAATATCATCCCAGGAGTATCAATTCAAGATGAACGACACGAAAACTTTCACCTGTCGAGACAGACGTTCAATTATTTGTGCAATAGAGAGTTTTAGATTGACATTTACGGCAAACGTCAAACCGCTGACGAAGTTGTTGGTTTTACAACTCTATTATAACAGCTTTTACACCAGTTTTGAAATATATTAAACAATTATTAAACTTGTGTTCTTTAGCAATGATTTAAGAAAGCAAATTAACCAATAGTCACGTATTCACCAAAGCTGTAAATTAAAATTTAGCGTTTGAAGTTTACGTTTGGCGTATGAATTTTATGCTTGAACTGCTACGAGTGCTTGTAGTCGTTAAAGCATGAAATTTATACGCCAATCGTAAACTTCAAACGCCAGATCTTAATTTACTGCTTTGGTGAATACATGACTAGTGGTTAATTTGTTTTCTTGAATCATTGTTAAATACCACAAGTTTAATACTTGTTTAACATATTTCAAAACTGGTGTTACAGCTGTTATAATAGAGTTGTAAAATCAAAAACTTCGTTAGTGGTTTGACGTTTGCCGTAAACGTCAATCTAAATCTAAATCTCTATTAAGGCTGATTTCCACTGTTGCGTTTTTCATACGTACGTATACGCACGTAAAACTTTAAATCCGTTTAAATGTTACTTGTGAAATAACCAAATAAATGAAGCAACAGAATTTAGTGTTCCGCAAGTTTTAGTACGCATTTGTTAACTTATTTTGTAAAATATTTAAAAAATAGAAGGATTCAAAGTTTTACGTGCGTGTATACGTGCGTACGAAAAACGCAACAGTGGAAATCAACCTTTAGAGAGGTTGACGAGATACGATAATACGTTGACGAGAGGTTATACGATCACTAATATGAACAGTAGCGAAGCCTTATCGAAAATCTAACGGCTTAGTGTGAACAAGCGTAAAACATGGCTTGGTTATTTCCCTCCAGCGTGGTGTGAACGTAGTCTTCATCATTGGACAATAGCGCTTGCACTATCTAGTTATTTTTTGAGATCAGTGGGTTTACCACAACCACTTAATCTACGTTCAGATATTTTAGCTTCTTTGTACCTTGTTAAGAATAATATGTATATAGTATGCTTCTTTTAATAATGGGCATTCTCTCTTGCAGAAACACTTGCTTTCCGAATGCTACAAAGAAAAAGGTGTCTTGCAAATTTGGCGAGTTCCGAAACTACGGAATGGAATAAGGTATATTATTACTCTTCTGAAGAAAACAGAAGAATTTAAATCATATTGGGGAATCCTGGATTCTTATTGATTGACTGCAGCCGTTTTTTTATCAGGCAACTTGTGTAGTGATTTTTCTAAAGAGTGTCTAGAATGTTCATATTGACTAAAACTATCGTCAGGAATTACGACATACTGTTTCGCTGAATCCAATGGTGGTATTTTTGCCTTTGTTAGCCGAATGGAAACGGAAATAAGCCGCGGCAAAGTCACCCGACTTCAAAGACGGAAAGTTAGGACCAGAAAGAGATAATTATTAAACCTGTTAGTTTTTAAGCTGTTTCAAAGTATCAACCAAAGTCTATTATTCAAAATAATTGCAACACCTTGCCTATAGGCGAACAGCTGTCTGGAATGAGATATTTGTCCTACAACCGGTGTACTGTATACACTTGGTGTTTGTTTTGTTTTATTTTTGTTTAATTTTAGACCGACAGAGCAACCTGAATTTTGTCTCGGAATTGTCCACGATTATGGACCCGTGTGGGACGCCCGATGGTGTCCGTCTGGGGCCTGGGATCCGTTATCTCCGCAGGCAAGGTTAACATTCACCAGCTACACGGCAAAAAACGATCAGGTTGTTGCAATACTGATGAAAACAGGATTGAACAATGCTTTGCTGCCCACATTGTTCACAGTTGTCAACAATATTGAACAATATTGTTACACGCGATTCAGGCCCAACAATATTGTTCAATATTGTTGACAAGTGTGAACAACGTGGGCAGCAAAACATTGTTCAATCCTGTTGAGCAGCAGGCTCGGCGTTTTTTGCCGTGTATGCTGTATACTATCAACAGCTATTTTTTGGTTTTCCACGTCTGGTCAACAGCAAATCCAAGTGCATGATGTGTAGCGTGCTGCAATAGAGAGGTTCAGATTTTACTTTTCCACTACCACTACCTCTCACTGACTTAGTCCGCATTTGATTGGTCAATATGAGACACATCTGATTGGTTGATAGTCCCTTAATGGTAGCGGTAGTGATGATGGAAGTCAAATCGAAACCTCTCTATATTGACTGACATGGGCACCGAATTTTCAAGTTTTGCTTATCGTCGCCTTTGCGGGAACGTCGCAGCTATGCTTTGAATATATAGTATTGTTATATTACTAGGATGAACACCAAACGTGATTGGCTGATTTGTGGTCACGTGACTTTAGATAAATGCAAACTCCAGATGCTTCGCTACGTCCTTCGACTTCATCTTGTGTATAATGTGCGAACAAAAAAATTAACAACTTGCAAACAAAGCAGATTTCAACGCATGTTAGACATACTTACGCATGTTGTGTCATGTTTTGTAATGTTTAAGTGGACATTCTTTATTACGTTCATTTTGAAATTATTGGTGTTTCTTGCAATCTGATTGGCTCTTAGCGGTGCAATTGAAGCACAAATAGCAGCCATCGTGTCCAATCATAGTTAAGTCATGAGCGTCACCAACCAATCAGATTTAATTATAGGGTCCAACCAGCCAAACAATTTTAGGAAAATGACCAGATGATGTGCAAGTAAACGACCAAATCTGATCATCTTCGAATTTACTAAATAAAAGTTGTCAATAGGCTGCCTACATAGAGCGCCGTAAAAAGTAAAAAAAAGGGGGGCCAACTTGCCCAGAGGGGGCGCCGGAATGCCGGAATTGCGGAACGTGTTAAATATTAAGGAATTTTCTGAAAAATTGAGGTCGAAAAGGTCTGAAAAAGTATTTTAAAGTATTTTTCTCAAAGTGGTGTTTGGAAAATTTTTTGTCACGTTTTGTTTTCGCCGGAAAAAACCCGTCGACCTCCCCCCTCTTCCCCGCCGAAAGGAAGGGGGCCCAAACTTTTGAATTCACCCCCCAACCAGATACCGCTCGGGACGGCCCTGCAAATTAATCAGATTTTGTCACCTTCCGAGGCAGTAAAGTAATGAGTTTGTATCCAGAAGATCTGTTTGGATCCTATATTCAGAAGTACGATTTTCAACTCATTATCCCAAAGTAAATCTTTTGTTTACAATTAGATTGTGTTAGAATACATGAAAATTACTTTCTGCGAGTCCGAACACAAAGGCAACTATAGCCATTCTTTGTTTCAGAGAGGTTCTGTAGAGATTTATAGGTTTTGAAATACTATCCTTGCCTTTAGACGTCCAGTGTAGACTTACTATAAGTCACATCGCATTGTAACTTGTCTCGCGTGTAACGACCAGCTTGACAAATAATCCTTTAACTTTTATAGGATGGTGAACTTCGACGACTGGGACTGCTTGCATTGGCGTGCGCTGATGGCAGAGTTCGAATTTTCAGGTAAAACTTGTAAGGGCAATATTTCTTTGGGATGTTTCGTAACGCTACATGCGCATAAATGAAAGACCATCATGCCAGTTCCCCAAAGCCTTAACTCTTAACCTGCGAGGACGCAAATGCACTGCAAAAAATTAAACCCCGAGTATTTTGATTTAAAAATTTCTCATGAGAAAAATATAATGCATCCACATTCAGGCCTGCAATGGCTGAAAATAAAGAGTAAAAAACTCACATTTATGAGCAAATTAAATTTACTGAATTTTTTAGTAGGTTTACTACTAAAAGAAATTAAATTTGCCCATAAATTTGAGTAGTTTTACTCAATATTTTGAGTGACTGTGGGTGTTTTATTTTCCTTAGTAATTATGTTCACCCCTGATTTCGCTTTTGCTGATCAATTTTTCATTTCTTAGTGTGCCATTTCCCTGCTCACTTATGAAGAATGACGGTGGTGAAGCTGGAAAGTCTCCTAGTGATAGTAAGTATACAAGTCGCTGAAGTACAACATCTTGTATCGACTCCTATCTACATGTGATGTGACTGATGTCCAACAAGACTATAAGTTTACCATTACAATTTGACGAATTTGTACGTATCAGTGTGCGGTTTTCTATTAAAACAAATTACAATAATAACAATATTACTGGAAAAAAGTAATATAAAAGTGAAGCAAACATAATCCAATTTCGAAGTACTTAAATTTCGAAACGCACACAAAAAAACTTCCAACCTATTCACAATACAATTTTCCAATATGATGGTTCCTAGCTACGTTCCAGACCCCGACCCGCCACTGAACTGTAACATAATGTGGATTGCGAACAATATAAATTTGATAAACGGTAGCTACATCTTGTTATTTTTCTAATTTTGCAAATTTTGCAGAACAGTCGATAAATAATACAGTCGAACCTCGTCTTGCTGAAACGTCTCAATACCATGAACACTTTAATTCCATTGTTCCGACAAATTTGTCACATATGTCTCACAGAGTAAATACATATAACTTTTTACCTCTGTATTACGGACAGTTTGGTTTTGTGGCTATAATGATAGTTTGTGTAAAACAACGGTGCATAAAAAAGGTGATAATTTCACTTTTCACGCCGTGGACAGTGTCATGGCAACCAACTTATGGTCACAACAAAGTCATCGCGGCGTATGCTATGTAATCGTTGTGATCCCTTTAAGACTGATATCTCTATATAAGGCCATTTTCCACTTTAAGCGTACCGCACCGAAACGTATAAAAATATTTTTAAATTTCAAACTTTGCTGAATGTTGATTGGTTAATACTTCTCTAGTACGCCAAAAAGTTGATTTGCCACGAACTTTTTATTTTCATACGTGAATTAAATACACCTGTCAATACGTGAATTTTCAACCTGCGCATGCTCACCAGTACGTTTCTATGCGGTACGCTTGAAGTCCCTTCGTAGCTTATCAATTATTACAATATGAGTTTGTTTTCTTACCTAGTACTTTATCGTGCTGTCCCCCACATGGTGCTATCCCCAGGCTCTTTGTGTCGTAAGTACCAAGATGAATGTGGTCCGGCGTGGACAGTGTCATGGCAACCAATTAATGGTCACAACAAAGTCATTGCGTCGTATGCTGATGGTGAGAATTTGTGTATCATGGTCGTACAATGTCGTGTTTTTAACAATTATTGAATGAAGTTGAATATTGTTATTTCTCGACACTGCCACTAGACTTTCGCTGCACAGTGCTGTGCTCTACTCTCAGTACTACACTGTGCTCTACTGTGCTGTACTATACTACGCTATTGTTAGGCTATTGTGTACTGCACTGCACTGCACTGTAATTTATTGTGCTGTACTCTACCGTGATGTATTGTACAGTTTTGTACTCCACTGTACTGCACATGGCCAGAAATTCAGGACAACATGGCGATTGGCATACGCAATATACTTCCTCATTCGTTATTCAAGATGGCTGATTTATATATAGATTAAGTATTGCAAATATATGTTTTAGCAATTTCCAACGTTTTTCGTACATAAATCCGAGCTCTGCACGTCGAAAACATCATTTAATTACTCGATCCTTTAACCGAATAAATTTCAGAACAGTTCAAGTAGGACAAACCAGTCCCCGAGAACTATATTCCTACCTTATCTCATCACATATACCAGATAGTTAATTCTCCCAAAATTCGCTAACTGCACATTTTTGAGCAGCATTTTAGGACATTCGTGGGCAGTACATGGAGCTTCTGCACGTCTGCATTGATAAAAGTTGTCTTTATCTTTGTTCTCCAACAGTTTACAAACCCGTAGAGGATGGAGAAACAGGTTCCAAAAAGCCACCAAATATATGCTTTTAGCAAACAGAAAATGTGTACATTGAGCGTTGGAATTACCACAAATCACTCGAAAACCAGCAAATTTGTAAATGTTGATCCGCCATTTTGCTTTAAAATTGTTGCTAGGCAACCTATATGACTGACAAGGTGTATTTGTGGGCTCAGTGAGGTTGATTTCGCAATAAAATAGCTCAGATTTCGCGGGAAAATTTGTAAAATTTGGTAAAATTATTTGCAGCAGTTTCAATTTGGGCATCTTTAACAGTTGGAAATTTATTTTAAAATACTTTTCTTTCGTTCACTTGAACATACTGTACCTCAAGTAAGTATTTAAACGGCTTATTGTTGTATTGTGCGTATAAAGTTTGCATACGAATACAATGTCGGATACATGCCCGACTGCATTCCATTCTTTCTTGAAATGGAAACTTGGTGAATATGAGCCCGCGCGTCTTTCCGCTGACTGTCCTGAATTTCTGGCCATGCTGTGCTGCATTTTTGTTTGTGCTTATTTCCGCATGCTATGTTTTCCCATTTGCCTTTTTGCAGGCACGGTGGCAATCTGGAATTTAAAGACAGAAAATCGTATTCTGAAAGCGGCGACCCCAGACGGTCTCACCGAGTGTAAGTTAGCCTGGTCTTACACATATAAATGCATTTTTAGTCGATGGATTTTTGAACGAAATTTTCATCTATATAAAATTGTATATGAATTTTCGTTTGAAAATTCCATCTACATTCAGTTCCGAAAATCTTGCTGAAAATCTTAATATTGACATCACTCCGTCATATATACATAAACTTGTGGTTAATGCTCAACAACCGGACTCTGTAGCTTAGTTGTTCGGAGCGCCACACCTGAATCGCAGGGCCTCCTAAGATAGCATTTTTAGCAGCTGCTCCTGGTTGGGTCTGAAATTGTATATAAATTTTTGTTCGAAAATTCCATTCTCTAAAAAGCTCATCAATATACATTCAGTTCTGTCGAACGAGATGCCCGCAATCATGATGTTACAGTACACTTGCCTATTATAGGACACGTTCAACAGTTAAAATGTTAGGGTTTTGAACTATTTCTGAAGTACCAAGCTGGTTTCCAAACGTCAATTCGAAATAATGTTAGGAAGACAATTTACTCGAACTACACATTCGAAGAAGTGATTGTGTCAAGTTGTTAGGAAAAAGTACACGAATCAAAAAATACGAAATGCTTGTGTGGTGGTCAGGGATTTTATGTATCTGTAGTATACGAATACGTGGAAGAACAATTTTGTGATATCTTCTCAGGCAAAAGCTTCACCTTTATGGAATTATTAAGAATCTGTTAAGATTAGGGACCGCTCATTATTTATTGTACAGGGGGGGGGGGATTTGAGGAGAAACTTGGGGGGGGCTTTGAAAAAATACAGATAGACGAAAGAAGGGGGCTTTGAAAATATTTACCAATTTGAAAAAAACATCAGTAGTCTTAAAAATGAGTATCACAAAACAACTTAGCAAATAACAATGTTTATAGATTTCAATATGCATAAATGGAAGCCAAATAAAAAGTCTCTTATGTTCATGTAAATAGACAATTCCCATTATAGACTAATTTTAGAACTATAGAACTTTGGTGAAAATAGTGGGGCGGAGGTGAAAAAAATTTTTAGGGCTTATTGTAGAACAGGCCAATATCAACGAGGTGAGGTATGCATGTAGTGTACATATGTACCAAGGTATTAATGAATTATGAATGTATATGACTCCAATCTTGCCCTTCATTACAATTGCTACAAAGGTTCTTTCAAAACATTGCATTAAAAGGGTACTTGACACAGAAATGAATGGCTATCACTGTTTCAATTTTACAGAGAAAACTTTCTTACGTCACGAAGTGTAGATCTCATCCTAAGCAACCATCACATTTTCACTTTGTTCCATCATTGAAACTTTCCCAAGGGGAGGTGCATGACCTTTCAGGAGAGGTCGGGAAAAATTCTCAGGGGGGGAGCGCAAAACGATATCAGGGGAGCTGCGCACCTCTCCACACCTCCCCTCGAAATCCGGCCTTGATGCAAATAAATCACCACAGCTAGAAAGAGCATACTAAAATAGGTAAATTATTGCAAAGCTTGGTTGCGAAATGTTGTAAAGTACGGAAAATATAGCCTTACAAAGTTTGCAAATTTTGTATACTTTTGTATTGCATGCGAAAATTGCAAAACAAAAGTATACAAAATTTGCAAACTTTGGAAGGCTATATTTTTACATATTTTACAATATTTCGCAACCAAACTTTGCAATTTTACTAATTTTAGTATGCCCTTCCCGGGAATATACTTTTTTTGCTGAGATAAAAAATTAGTCTATAATGGGAATTGTCTACTTGTCGCCATTATTTACTTTTGTTTCTCTAAATAAAGAACTAGAGTTTTCGTTTCTCTAAATAAAGATAAAGAGCTAGAGGGAGGACCAAAATTTATGTTCTTGTTTTGCCTGTTGGGGCCGGGGCTTTGAAAATTTTAGTTGTCTTAAAAGGGGGGCAACGAAAAAATATTATAACTGTAGAGTTTCTCCTCAGTCTCCCCTTGTACAATAAATAATGAGCAGTCC